CCCTGGGTGCTCAGGGGTGCCCCCTCATCCCTTACCTCCCCCTACCCCCCCCCGCAGACACGCTCTGGGTTTTCAACTTTTTTACGGTGCCCCTTTTAGGTGCGGAGCGGAGGAGACTTCTCCTACCCAGCCCAGCGCCCCTTGGGGGTCCAGGGGTGGCCGTAGCGCCGGAGGAGCACGGGGACGAGGTTGAGCACTTACAACTTACACGCAAAGAGCACCCCAACCCTTAAAAAAAACCCACCCCACCCCTAAACCCACCCAAAAAGGCACCCCCAGCCGGCGGGGGACCCCGGCGGAGCGGAACGCAGCCCCCCCCCACCTCTCCCCGGGGCCGCCGCCACTGCCGGGCCCTGTCCAGGGTCCTGAAGGCGCCCCGCCGCCTCCCGCCCCTCCGGGGTGTCATGGCCCCGCAGGGAGGGGGGCGCCCTGCTGGGGTGTGAGACGGGAATCACTGCCATTCTGTCTCCCTTTTTCTCTAGCGTGGATGGCTGCCTCTTCCTTCTCAGGGCTCCTTTTTTACATCACGGCCCTGCCCTTCCCAAAACACCTTCCCCGGTTCTGGCCGATAACCAATCTCTTGACATCAAAGAGACAGAAGGGAACGGGAGTCTGCACAGTGTGAAGAAAGCCCTTCCCCCTGGAAGGCCAAAGGCACTGCTAGAGCGAGGGGAGAGCACGGCTGTGGTGCCGTGGGTGCCAGGGGAAGGTGCTCGTTGGAGCTGAGAGCCGGCAGGGAAAGCTGCCATTCCTGCACATAAGGAGAGCCTGCTGTTGCTTAGCAGCAGAGAGTTCCCTTAGGTCTGCGAGGAGAGTTGAACTAGGGTGGAAGCTGGACAATGTGCCCAGGAGAGCGGAAAAAATAGAAAGGTTGATTCCTCCCTCCCCCTTCCTTAGTACTTCTCCTGCCCGATGGCAAGGAGCCCTTCTGTAAATCTCTGCCGTGGCACAAAGCACATGACCGGGAGGTTAAATACACATCTCTGCTGGATCACAATTGTCATGGCCCAGACAGGACCTATGGAGATATTAGCAAATAGGAGTATATGATACTGCCTCACTTCTTGGCAGAGGAAAGGAAATTAAGTGTACCAAGGTGGTTCTTCACGTATCCTAAGACCAAGATCAAACCACCTGTTAACATCACTGGCCTTTGAATCCAGCTCCTTGAACCCCTTGCTGGGAAGGGCAATCATTTCTCAGAGCAGGGAGTGGATGTGACTCCCCTAAGCCCTCTCTAGACTACGATCCCAGGTGGCTTCCGAAATCTTAGCAGGAATGCTTGCACAAGTGCAGGTTCAAACTGCTGGCACACTATAACCCCTTTGGAAGGTATGTTCTTGCTCCATCCTTTGCATTTCTCTCAGGAGGGTCACGATCAACTAACACCTTATTAAAGATGCCTAGTTTTTTCGACATCAATAACGCATAGAGATAGTGCATAGTGTTGCACAAACCCACAGTACTCATGCTCCCTCGCGTGAATGGTGTTAGATAAAAATAAAGCTGCCTATATTGAGAATCTTCCAGTGTTTCGTCTTTGTAGACAACTCCACCCAGCTCTGTAGGCAGGCAGGTCTGCATCATTGTGTATGTACACGACCACCTCAATCCTGAGGCTGCTGAGCAGCTTTGAGGCCTAAAGTCCTCTCAGAATTGGTAAAACAGGCACCACCTTCTGCTTTCTCCCTGCCTAATGGATGCAGGCTGGTGTCCAGCTGCATAATGCAGGACTGCATGAACAAGTGCTTGGAATTTGTTGAGATGGGATTTAAAGTTGAGGGACTTTAAGAGCTGACAGACACAGATTGAACCCATTCCGCTGCCTGGAAGGAATCTGAGCATGAATTTCTCAGGGGTGAAAGAAAATTCCCTCAGTCATGGACGTAGCCTGCCCTGCACGTGGAAGCCTGTGACCATGTGCAAGTCTCTTCTTCCCCACTGCTGCCCCACTTTGCACAGGTTAATTCAACTTCTCTAAGACAGAGAGAAAGCAAGATGTGTACATCTTGACAAGGTAGTTGGGCATGGGAGTATTGGGCCTGGGTCTCGGTTCTGTTTCAAAAAAATATGTCATGGAAAATGGAATGTTTACACATGAACTTATATAGCTACTACTATATAAGGCATTAGAAAAAAAATAATCTCTTTACTAGAGTTTTCTGAACATTTTGCATTAAGTCTGCATAAGCTAAGGAGTTCTCTTTTATTCTACATCAGAAAGATGTGACTTGATCTGAGGGTGCCCTTGCTATTTAACATAGTCCCTTTGTATGTTTCTCAGACTCCAGCCTCTCTCCTTCTGCAGATCTGTCCAGTTCATGTATTTTCCTCATTTTGCCTTTGTGGGAATGAGGGAACCTGTTATTGTTGTTGTTATTATTATTACAAACATGTACAATAATTTTTTTATTTATTCTCATTGAAAATTTTAACAACAGGTTATAAGTAAAGCAATCTAGAACATATATCTGTATTTTAATAATAATAATATATTCCAACATTCTTGCCATCACACTTTAGTGAGTGACAGAATGCACACGTTAGGTTTTTTGGGGACCTGTTTTGCTTTCAGGTGTTAGGACAGATTCTAGAACATATATCTGTATTTTAATAATAATGTATTCCAACATTCTTGCCATCACACTTCAGTGAGTGACAGAATGCACACATTAGGTTTTTTGGGGCCTGTTTTGCTTTCAGGTGTTAGGCTGGGCCTCCCACCTGACCTTCTGCTCCTTGCCCAAGGAGAGGTCATACATATTTGTATGGCAGCTTATGGGTACTAGTCTATTTTAGTGTTTCCTGCTCACTTCAATTGTTAAATAGAGAGTTTCTAGACCATTGAATGGAGCTGATTCATAGTGAATTAGGGAGCAATTCAAACAGAAAGTAAGAAGCTATTTTTGACCGTTTTCATTGACACGAAAGTGCATTTGTTACAAATCACTTTGAAGACTGATAGGCTTTTCTGGGAGGGGAGGCATTATCAGAAGAAAACGAGTTTCCAGGGACTTCAGCTGAACTTAGATTTTTTTAAAAATCCATAGAACAGCAGTATTGTAGTATTTGATTTATCTTATTCCTGATAAAAACATAAAATGTAAAGCTCTATATATTTAAAAGATGCATTTTAAGCGACCACATTTTGATGTGAACAAAATGCCAGTGATATTATGGGAAATAGCTTTCTTGAGTTTTTAAATTTTTGTATTCTTTCAACATGAGTTATGTACAGGTATAAGAAACTTTCTTAATGGATCTATTAGTAGTTGATTCTTGAGTTTTTAAATTTTTGTATTCTTTCAGCATTAGTTATGTACAGGTATAAGAAACTGTTCTTAATGGATCTCTTAGTAGTTGCCGGCTTTTCTGGGAGGGGAGGCATTATCAGAAGAAAATGAGTTTCCAGGGACTTCAGCTGAACTTAGATTATTTTTTTTTTAATCCATAGAACAGCAATATTCTAGTATTTGATTTATCTTATTCCTGATAAAAACATAAAATGTAAAGCTCTATATATTTAAAAGATGCATTTTAAGCGACCACATTTTGATGTGAACAAAATGCCAGTGATATTATGGGAAATAGCTTTCTTGAGTTTTTAAATTTTTGTATTCTTTCAGCATTAGTTATGTACAGGTATAAGAAACTGTTCTTAATGGATCTCTTAGTAGTTGCCTTCAAATAGAAGATGAAGGTTCAATGTTGATGGGAGGCAGAATAAACACGGGAGTCTTCAGACATGTAAAACCAGCCATAGGACTGCCCGGAGCAGTC